GTTTACGCCCCTGCCAAATAAACCGGGAAATCCATTTGTCCCATTCTCTAAATTGCTGATCTGATATTTCTACTGGTAGACTAGATAAAGTAATCGAGGTAGTACATTCATTTTAATTGTTTCTACCCTCTTGATTAGGGTGAGGCATGGGATAAGGTTCCATCTTTGCATATCTGCCTTTATTTTAATATTTAAGGGACCATAGTTTACTTGAAACAAATCTGACAACTCTTTTGGTAAAAACACTCCCAAATACTTTATTTTATTTGACTGCCAATTGAGCTTAAATGCATCCCTGAGACTTTTAGGGGGGATATAATTTAATGTAATCACTTGAGTCTTTTGTATATTGAGTTTATATCCTGAAAGAGCCCCATACTCTTCCAATGTATTCATCAGTGCCAGGAATGACTGAGTAGGCTGCCCTAGGAACACTAAAACATCATCTGCAAATAATGCAAGTTTTTGTTCGATACCAAATACCTCAATTCCTTTAATTTCTCTGGTCTGTCTAATTATTTGACTTAAAGTTTCAATAAATAAAGAGAATAACAAAGGCGAAATTGGGCACCCTTGTCTAGTTCCTCGTTCTAACACAAATGAGCTTGAGAGGTCTCCATTTATTTTAATTCTTGCACTGGGCTTATTGTATATCGTTTGGATTATTTTAATGAATGCAGGATGGAAGCCAAACTTTTTTAGAACTTTATATAAAAAAGACCATCTAACCGAATCGAATGCCTTCTCGGCATCTAGACTAATTAACATTGCCTCAAGTTTGTTTTGGTTAATGTATCTCATTATATGTAGGGTTCTCCTTATGTTGTCCTGTGTTTGTCTCTGTTGTATAAATCCTGTCTGGTCTAAATGAATTAGGTTTGGCAAAAACTTCTCTATTCTTCGTGCTAAAATCGAAGTGAACAATTTATAATCTAAATTAAGGACGCTGACAGGCCTATAATTCCCACAATCTAGACTATCCTTTCCTTCTTTGGGTATAACTGAAATGATTGCTTCCCTCCATGAGGGTGGGATTTCACCTGTTTCTATTACCCAATTCATGGCCGACAACATGACAGGGACCAGTTGTTCTTTGAATACTTTATACCACTCAGAGGTATATCCGTCTGTTCCTGGGGATTTTCCTGGTTTTAATCTAGAAATGGCTAAATTCAATTCCTCAGCTGTGATCTTCTGTATAAGTCTTTCATTTTGTGAATCTGTTACTTCAGGTAGTTTCAGGGAGTCTAGAAAATTGTCAATTTGTTGATCATTTGGCACATGTGGTTGGGAGTACAAATCTTTGTAATAAACCTCAAAACTTTCTTGTATTTTCTCTATTTTAATTCTATAAATATTTTCTCTATTATAATTCTATAAATAGTACTATCCGCTTGTTGTTTTCGCAGTCTGTAGGCTAAGAGCTTTGCTGATCTTCCTCCAGCTTCATAATGTCTTTGTTTCAAGTACATTAGTTTCTGTTGTATTTCCAAATTGTATATGTCATTAATTTCATGCTTTAATCTATTTATTTCCTGTTTCAAATTTGAGTGGGCTGTATTGTAATTAATTGTCTGTAAGCTTTTTAGTTGTGCCTGCATTTGTTCTAATTTCTGAGCCCTTAGTTTCTTATTTAAAGAGGTTATCCCTATAATTTTTCCCCTCATGACGGACTTCATAGCATCCCATAAAATAGACGGTGAGACAACCCCATTATCATTTTGCTCCAAGTATTCTCTAATATCAGTTTTCAAATTCTGTACAATCTGAAGATTATTCAAAATATTTGAATTCAACTTCCATAACGTTGACCTACGTTTCCTATTTAACATTATAGATAAATGAATGGGAGCATGATCAGATAGGTCTATTACACCAATATCACAATCTCTTACTTTATCCCTATCTCGACTAAAAGTAAAAAAATAATCTATTCTAGAATAAGTTTGGTGTGATGGAGAGTAATGTGTATAATCCCTACTTGATGGATACATCTCCCTTCAAATATCTATTATCCCTAATTCTTTCATCACCATATTGACTCTCTTGCAAACTGAATTTTGTTGTATACTTAATTTAGAGGAATCTAAATTTGGATTTAGACGAATATTCAGGTCACCCCCACAAATCAGCACACCCTGGGAATTGGCCATCAACTCATATAGCCTTTTGTAAAAGTTCCATTCACTTCCTGGAGGAGCATATATGTTTAACAGTGACACAATGGATCCCTGTATTTTCCCTGTTACCATTATGAACCTCCCATCCTCATCTTTAATATCTGATATGTGTTCAAATTCTAATGTATTTGAAATCAAAACTGCTACTCCTCTTCTGTGTCCTGCTTTATATGAGGAAAAATACAAGTGTTTGAAACCCATTGATTTTAATTTAATGTTCAATTTTGTTCGTGTGTTTCTTGAAGATATGCAATATGTGCCCTTTCTTTTTTAAGTTTAGATAAAATTTTCCTTCTCTTGATTGGATTTAAGACCCCGTTGATGTTAAAAGAAATTATTTTTACAGCAGAATCCATCTGCATTCCTCTTTACGCTGAGAAAAAAGGTAAATAAACCGTCCTCTCCATATCCTCTCTTTAAGACATAACAAACGCATCCCCTTAAAAATAAGAACAATTGCAAATCAACAAAATATGAATAGAACAATTCAAAAACAGAAACAACAGGAAATGTTTTTGATGCTTCCGAAAGTGAGGTCTTCATGCCGACCTTAAACAAGTCAACACCTCTGGAGGGAGAGCCTCCATCTTTTGTCATTTTAGGAGGGCCCTCCATTACTTGCCTTTAATGGCATCACCTATCGATCCCGACTAAATTACTTTACATTATCCGACTAGGATCGTGTCCTCCTTTACTCTTCCCAAGCTTAGTATATTACCAGAAATACCATAAGTTTTCATTGTCACCTCTATTCCAGCTGATACAAACTCCACTCAATCGTTCAATTCAACAACAGACCTTTTCCCTTCCTTCGAGTTTAATATCAGTACCTGACTTAAAAGGTCATCTACTCTTGGCCATCCTGACGCTTGAAGACACTTAATTTTTCTCTGAAGCCCGTCGCCCCTTTGTCACGGTTGCCACGTCTTGCCCGTGGCCTGCCTGGTTGCCATGTCAATCGCCGTATCTGATCCAGAAGCTTATCAGGCTGAGAGACCACTGATACCAGTAGCCCCCGGACCGCCATGTCTCGTGTTGCCTCCTCCACTGATTCGTAAATTACCGTCCCTTCGTCATAAAAAACCTTTTAGCTTTGCTGGATACAGAGTCCAGAACTTTATGTTGTTGTCTTTTAATGCTCGCCGTGCTTCGGCGTATTCCCTTCGTTTGGTGAGGATTCCCGACGCATAATCGTGATCCAGGCTTATTTTGCTGTTATTCCACTCGAAACCTCTCCTTTGCCATGCCAGTTTCAAGACTTCTTCCTTTGTTCTGTAGCTAAGAAATCTGACGACCAGCGATCTTGGCGGTGCTCCAGCGGGGGGTTGCAGCCCCAGAGCCCAGTGCGCTCGCTCTATGTGAATGTCCGTTGTGGACGGTATTTCGAGGTTCTCTCTAAACAGGTTTTCAACAAAACTAATCATGGAGCCTGCTTCCCCCTCAGACCCTTCTGGAACCCCGTATATCCTCACGTTCTCTCGCCTTGAACGACTCTCCTGGTCCATCAGGCTACCTTGAAGCTGTATCTGAAGTTTTAGCATCTCTGCCAGAACCTCTTCCGCGCCTTGTATTCTTTCTTCGTTCTGTACAATTCGCGCTTCAGTGTCGTCCATCCTTGAATTAACTTTCGCTATCTCTCCTTTAATGGCTTCGAACTGACCCATGCAGTCTTGTCGAAAGTCCCTCATTTCTCTTAGTATTAACTCCAAATTCACTGCTTCTGCCGTTTCCTCCACTCGTCCGCCATCATGGCTGCTGGCGTTGGCTGACGAAGCGCTACCACAGGAGTCAGATTCTTCGTCATGTTTTTCAAGTTGTTGGGTCGTTTTTTTACCCTTAAACCTAGTCGCCATACCTGCCCCGTCTTCCATGAAGTAATTCTGCTCACTCTTGGTAGTAAATTCGAAGTTCCGGGGCATTTCTTATACTTTTAGTCGGGAGACTCTTTCTTAGGCGGCTGGTGACGTAGCCAGAACAGGTTCACTCCAGTTCTGAAATCCTGCTCTGACTCTCTGCTTTAATCTCTTCTTCACCTGAGTTTAAATACTTCAATCAGCTACAATCAGCAGAGTCTCTACTGTTAGTAATATCAGCTCTCAGTGATTCATACTGACACACCAACCATCATCACATCTCCACTCTGTTTATTCTCTCCTACAGAGGGACAGAGAATGGACAGAAGAGGAGAGAAAGAAAATGAAGGAGTCTCTTCTGCTGACCGGTGAGTTTTAAAGGAGATACAAAATAAACCCTGTTAAACCTGTAAAAGTCTAATGTTTTAATGTAGGCAGGTTTCTCAACACCATTTCCGTTTTATTATAATGAAAAGATCATTATAATAATTATAGAATCCAGTGTTATTAGATTCTCACGTCTCATATTTTGTGTAATTGGATATTAAACTAATGCAGTGATGTGATGAACAGTGGAACAGAGAGTAGAATAAGCAGCTTTAACTAAAACACATTCTACTGCTGTCAGCTTTGCTCAGATCATTAAAGCCTCAGTAGAAATCAGTGCAGCTGTGCAGGCTGGTGTGAGTTTCTGCAGTAACAGGGTTTCTGTTGGAGATCCTGTTGCAGAAGATCATTAACTTAAAGCCTCTTTCTGTCCTTTTCTCTACTTCTTCACTGCTCACCAGCTTTTTTTTACACTGATACTGAACTTATTCAGCGTAGCAGCTGCTCTGGATCTTTACTTTGATCTGATCATTTTCTTTAGTGAGCTGGTTTTGTGTAACAGCAACAGTTTGTGCTACTAGAGTTAATACATGTATTATAAACTAAATTATTATTACCGTATGTATTAATTCTAGCGTCCAAAAGAAGAAGAGCTGAGTAACAATCCTGTTGGACAAACTACAACATTTAGCCCAAATTATTTAGCTTACTAAGAAAACCTTCCCTGTGAAATACCATCCAAGCTAACTGTGAACTCAAAATGATGATTTCTTACAGATTTAACTGAAAAGGCCAAACAGCTCGAAGAAACAAAACACATTCTCTCCGAGAGAGACAGACAGCTAATGGAGAGAGAGAAGCAAGTGGAGGAGAAAGACAGACTTCTGACAGAAAACACAACAACACTTCAGATGAAGGAGAAGATTTTAGAAGAGAAAGACAAACTTCTCACAGAGACACAAGATGAACTGAGACAAACAACAAAGACCTTAGAGAGTCGTAGAAAACAAATGGAGGAAATGGAGAAAAGACTTGTGGAGAAAGATGAAGAATTAAAAGAAGAACTGAAAGATAAAGACAGGATTCTAAAAGAACATTTAGAGACGATTGATAAGAGAGATTCATTATTAAAGGAAACTAATGAAAGATTAGAAAGTGTTAATAAACAGCTTAAAGATAAAGACTCACAGCTGGAGAATCAGATCAAACTGCTGAGAGAGAAAGAGACTCTACTGGAGGTCACAGTGAAAGAGGTGGAGGAGAAGGAGAGACTTCTAAGAGAGAGAGACACACAGCTAATGGAAAGAGAGCAGCAGGTTGAGGAGAAAGACAGACTTCTAGAGGAGAGAAACAAGCAGCTGCAGGAGAGAACAGATCCAGACTCAGCAGCTCCAGCCAGGAGGAGAAACAGCAAAGAGAGGAATCCTCCAGACTGTAAGTAACTAATATTGTTGAATGAAGATGCTTAAAATGAAATTCTTTGAAATATAAATGTGTACATTGTTATAAATTTTGATCACACTGTAGGTGTTTAATACATTAAAATACAGACGAATATTCCAAGAAAAATATGATTTAATATGAATTGAAAGAAATATAATACTTGTAACTTGTGCAGTAATGTTTAGCTGTTTAAGAGTTTAGTGTTTTGAGTGAACAGCAAAACATTAAAAATAAATAAACAAATTCTTTCATTCTTTATTGATTAAAATACTAATATATATATATATATATATATATATATATATATATATATATATATATATATATATATATACCTCTTTCGTGATCAGTTGCCACTAAACCAGAAGGTATAAGACAAAATTAAGAAGATGGAGGCCTCCATGTTTATTCTGTGCATAAGGTCAAAATGTAGTCAGTAACATAATCTCCTCTGTCCTGGTTGTTCTGTTTCATAGTGAGTGAAGAGACTCCAGAGTCTGCAGCACCACTAAGGAGAAGAAACAGTCTGGATAGACTTCCTCCACATAGTAAATGATTCCACTGATTTCCTGAACTTTTTTTATATTTTACTTTATATTTTTATTTCTTAAAATATAATGATCATCATCACACAGTAAGAGATTTAATGCCTCATTGTTGTTGATTCACAGTGAGTGGAGAGTCCTCTAGTTCAGCCTCTCCAGAGTCAGTTCCTGTAGCAGAGCTCAGGCTGGTGCTGCTGGGGAGGACTGGATGTGGGAAGAGAGCAGCAGGAAACACCATCCTGGGCAGAGAGGAGAGGAGCCAGGCTGGAGCGTCTACAGTGAGGCAGCAGAGTGAGAGCAGACAGGGGGAGGTGGCTGGGAGGCAGGTGACTGTGGTGGACACTCCTGACTGGTTCTGTCCTGGACTCTCTCTGGAGGAGCTGAGACAGGACGTGGGACTCTGTGTCCGTCTGTCCGCCCCAGGACCCCACGCCTTCCTCCTAGTCGTACCAATTAAGCAGTCTACAGGAGAGGAGAGAGGCATGCTGGAGAAAATGGAGGAGATCTTTGGAGAGAGATGTTGGAGGAACACCATGATCCTTTTCACTGTTACTGATGAAGCCCAAGAGAAGAACATTGAAGAGTTTATCCAGTCAGGAAACCAGGAGGTCCAGAGACTCATAGAGAAATGTGGGAACAGGTTTCACTGTCTCAGCATTAAGGAGAGCGGAGAAGGTTCTCAAACCTCAGAGCTGCTGGAGAAGATAGAGAAGATGGTGGAAGGAAACAGAGAGAAACTCTACAGCAGTGAGATCTACCTGGAGACACAATCTCAGATCAGAGAGATAGAGAGAAGAATTGTGAGAGAAAGAGAGGAGATGAGAGAGAGACAAGAAAGAGAAACTAGAGAGAAGCTGGAGAGATGTGTACAGGAGACTTTTATAAAGTTTACAGAATCAACTGCTGACTTTCATACCAGAATAAATCAGCATGAAGAGCGAATAACTAAACTAGAGGGAATGTTAAAAGAGGAAAGAGACGAGAAGAGAAAGGTAGAGCTGGAGAGAGAGGTGGAGAGAGAGACTCAGCAGAGGAATGAGGTTCAGTTGGAGCTACAGAGACTGAAAGAAGAGACTGAAAAGGAGAGGAGAGAGATGGAGGAGAGACACAGACAGGAGATGGAGGAGATCAGGGAGGCTTATGAAGGAGAAGCCAGAATGGAGGCAGAGAGGAACCTCATGAAGATCATCCTGCCTGAACTCCAGCAGAGAATTTTGATGTTAAAGTCAAAGATGCAGGCAGAGTTCAGCAGACAGATGGAGGAGAAGGACAGAGAGTTGAAGACACTAGCGCAGAGAGTGGGAGCACTTATCAGCATGCTACAGGTGGAGATCCATAAGTACACTGGAAATCAGTAAGATCAATATGTTGAAAATGCTCCTGGATAGAAAGAGCTTGGTGGGTTTAAGCACTGTTTGTTATTGTAATGTTACGGATGTGATACTTTCTGTAGAGACAGCCTTTTATTCATGCTTTCCGTGTTAGACAGAGATACACTCTTCCATTAACTCGGTGATATACTGATGTGAAGGTGTTAGTGTTTTTGTGAAAGATGAGAACTTCAGGTTTTTGTGTAATTTGTGTGACAGATACAGTACATTACATGACTTACTCTTAAATGAGTGATTTGAAAACAAAATTTCCTGCAGAATCAGGCCTGGACCTCACTACTCCTGACTCCGTTCAGCAGGTCATTCATTTTGCACCTTTGTGACTGCAGAGTTACCTTAATGACTCATCAGCTACCATGAACTGAAAAACTAAAGCAGTGAGTGGATTCAGTTCTGTTTTTGCCGTATTAATGTAACATAGCAAAAACACTGAACAGTAATCAGGTATTTGACTCTGTGATTGCGTTTCTCACTGCAAGCTTTTGTAAGCTTCACAGTTTCATACTAATGGATGCTCTTCTCCAGTGATCAGTATACACTAACGTGCCAAAAGTCATGGGACCGGAACTAACATTGTGTAGGACTCCCTCTAGCCCAGCAAAGTGCAGCAACTCAACATGGCATCGATTCCGCAAATGAACAGAAAATGTCTGGAGGGATGTTGAGCCATGCTGTTTAGATAGCCACCCACAGCAATGTGGTATTTGTAAGTGCAGGATCTCATAGCACAGTGCGTTATCCTGCGGGAATATCCCATCATTGCAGGGGAACATGTGGTCTATGAAAATGGTCACCATTCACAAGATAACACCTCACGAATTAAACAAGTGTGGCTGTTCCCAAATCGTCCCCTGAGGTAATGTCACTTCATAATCAATTTACATACTGCTATCCCATGACTTTTGGCATGTCGGTGTATACTCTTAATGTTCAAGTTATACTTGTTATATTAAGTTATATATGTATAAGTTATAAGTTAATATAAGTTATATTTTCTTTTCAGAGTTGACACTGGGACAAGCTATGTTTGGTTAACTGGACTAGACATGTGCAATAATGTACAATTCATGAAACTATGAATGACACCACAAATAAAATCACTGAAAATAATCAGTAATACATATCGGTAATGAGACATAGATATACTACTTGGTGGTAATGAGAATTAGGGTAAAAAGCATAAACGTACACAAGAAAACTACTGGATAGACTCTGACCAAATTAGCTGTGGAGAAAAGTCAGAGAATGAGAGAAGATAAAATAGATAGAGAATAAAGGAGAACAGGGCTTTCAGACAGTGAACCATAGAGTCAAGCTGAAGAGTATAAATTAACTGAGAAGAAAGAAGCAAAGACAGACAAAGAATAGTGGTAGAAGCAAAAGAGAAAGCAGGAATATGTGCATTTATTTTAAGTGCCTCAATAGCTTTGCCCTGGAAATACTTTTCAATTGATTGCAAAGCAGTGTAGCAGTGGAGTTGCATGTAGGGGAGCTGTAAGTGGCCACTGTATTGTGCCAATATACAGAACAGTTTTTGGTCAGTCATTGTTTACATGTGAAGGCATACAGCTCTGGAATGTCCTTCCATTAGAAATCAAAACACATTTTGAAAAGCAACATATTTTCACAATCATGAGGCGCCAAGGAACCAATTACAATCCAAATGAAAGAGGGGGTCATAGGGTTTCTGACTGTCAGTGGAAGATGACTCCCTTCAGTCTGAGAGGAGATGAGACCCCTGAGCAGAAAGCGTTCTACGTTCTCCACTTCAATAAGAGTGAATCCGTCATAACTGTGCAGCGTGATTTTCGTGGGCAGTGAAGCTCCAACAGCTCAGAGCGTTCGTCGTTCGTTCCACAACACTGGATGATCTCCGAAATCACACTGAAAGAGCCGTGAGTGCAGCGACACCCGACACGCTCAATCCAGTATGGGATGAATTTGACTCAAATAACTTGTTACCAAATTACCTGTTCTGTAATTATTTATATATATATGCCATTTTTCATGTGTCTTAAGCCTACTGCTGAAACTGAGCACTGACAGGTTGAATCAGAAGGAGGATCCAGGAGAGACATTTTACTTATTGTAAGATCATTTTCCAACTCTCTCTCTTTACACTTATACACCTTTTTTGTTACTGTACCTTTAAGACTGACATACAGCCCTGGTTCCAAATTTTTCATTTTATAATGTGCCAAATGTTTTTAATGGGTGACAGGTGTGGACTGCAGGCAGGCCAGTTTAGCACCTGGACTCCTACTACAGAGCCATGCTGTTGTAATATGTGAAGAGCGAAAAGGCATTGTCTTGCTGAAAGAAGCAATGCCTTCCCTGAAAAAGACGTCATCTGCATGGCAGCATATGTTGCTTGAAAACCTGTATATATCATTCAGCGTTAATGGAGCCTTCACAGATGTGCAAGTCACCCATGTCAGGTGCACTAATGCCCCCTATACTATCACAAATGCTGGATCTTGAACTGTGTGCTGATAACAAGCTGAATGGTCCCTCTCCTCTTTAGCCTGGAGGACCAGCATTCATGATTTCAGAAAAGAACCTATCCTGTTTGGATATGATTCTTCTTTGCATGGTAGAGTTTAACTTGCATTTCTCTTTTAAATTTAGATTTATTGATCGCTGGGATAGGCTCCGGCTCCCTAGCAACCCAGAAGGATAATCAGTTTAGAAAATGTGTGTCTGTGTGTATACGTTTATTGTTTTGCATAAAATTGCATTCTGTATTTATTTGCATCTTGCACAGTGTCATGACTTGTTTGGAAACAGGGTTGTATGTAAATGACCCCTGTCCTGTATTGTGCCTAACTCAAAACGCAGCACATGCTGAAACCCTTCTTGTAACTTCAGTGTGGATGGGTGGGGCTAATCTGCTGTAGGCTGAATAGATGGATGCATAGAAATTAGTTGAATTTCATGACATCACGAACAGTGATTTCAAAACAGACTGTTGCAGCTTAGTTTTCATATATTGACTGTGTGGACTGGGGAGTGAAACTATTTTGAAATTTCTTTATTTACAAAGTTTTTAGGCCTTTTAAAGCAGTGTTTTTAAGCAATAGAAAAAAAAAACATACAGAATATACACTTCTTGGCAAAAAATGGACCACGCCCAAAATATAATGTTTTTACTGATGTTTTTTCTCCAGAATTAAACCCTATAGAGCATATTAGTTCTCACATTAAACACAAACTAGCTTGGCAGTGTTTTTTCAACTCTTTGAAACCAACAATGCTGAGTGGAACAACACTGACTCTTCTTTCTGTAAAAGATTATTCAACATAGTTCAACAAATTCAAACTGCAGTGCCACAATATTAACACTTAGCTCTTTTTAAAAAAGTATTCAGACCTTAGATATTTACAAGGATTATGTTATGATCTGTTTAAACCAAAAGCATTAACTGACATAGTAATAAGCAAAATACATAGAAGATCATAATTTATAGGATACCTTCTATTGAGAGATGGCTGTCCCAAGCCTTAGATCTTTTTGGTTTCTTTAAAGTGAATTTGAAAGATTTAGATTTATTATGAGCATAATTTAAAAAACAAACAAACAAACAAACAAAAACAAACAAGCACAAAAAATCTGTACTGCGTTTTCATGTCACGACTGAAGCACAAGGTGTTTTAATTTACAGGTGGAGCCTTATTTTTTGCCACACCCCTGCATTATCAGCAGGATGTGAGACTGCATCCCTGTCTGTCACGTTCACATGGTGAGCAGTTAGTCCTTGTTCACACAGACAACTGAAATTCGATTTTTCAGTGTATCTGATTTGGGACAGATTTTCTTCCGTCTGAATGGCAAAAAGCCACATGAAATCTGGTTTCTTCCAATAGGATTTAAGCAACATTTGTAGGAAACTGATTCAAATGCATTTCTGGATATGTGACTCAGTTTACTGGTCAGAACACATTTCATGTGTTTATTCATCATTCAGGGTGCAGAGATTCATGAGGTCAAAATGTGCGACAAGGAAGTGAGCAGTGCATATTTACATATTATAGCTTAAACACGGAGAGTAGGAGAGTTTGACAGACATTTAAGTGATATATGTTTACTTGGCATTTTGTAGTTTACACTGACGGCTTCATCAAAAGCCTTAAAGTCACTGAATACTACAGGTCCAGCCTATAGCTTGGTATACTGAAAGGAAATGTATTGCTTTGCAAAAGTGATCAACCCCCCTTGTATATTCAAACAAAACAGCACATAGTGTGGTGTAAAAATATTTGGCGGCGATGCACATTATTTAAAACTGTATTGTTCACTGTAAAAACTCACCAGACAAAGGCTACTGTTTTCCTCCCTGGATGAAAACATGGCTACCTTCCTCTGGAATCTATTCACAGGTAAGTACTTTTTCCTTCTTATTTCATTTGGTTACTCAATTACTCAATGATCTGGACATAATAATATATTGACTTCCCCAAGTGTTCAGAAATATAACAGTGCTTAAACTGTTTGTTTATACATACATACATTATATCTAAAGCAAGCAACATTAACTCAACATTTTTTTTTAATAACAGTTCATATTCAACATTAAGTTTTTTTCCCTTTTTTTTCCCTGCAGGTTTGCTCTTGTTTACCATTCAACTTCAGCTTTCCAGCATAAACAATATCAATTAATAAAGACTATTTAAAAACAGCATGTATCTGTCTGTTTGAATATGAAATGTCCCCATTACATAGAAAGTCTTTACACTATCTCTCCTCAGCTCCTCCAGCAATCA